ATATATATATATATATATATATATATATATACATACACACACACACACACACACATATATATATATATATAAATCTAGTAAACCAAACATGTTCTATGTTTGAATTTCAACAAGAACAAGATTTGCTCACCTGAGTCAGGTTGGCTACAAAGGCCAACGTGCATATTAGGCTCAATCAGAAAATGTTATTAAAACCATTTAGAGGAAGGTTATAATTTCAGTTTTTCTTCTAAAAATTTAATTTTTAAGCAGCTGAGCAGAGAAAATAAATTGCATTGAAAATATTCGACATAGTATTTTATTATTCAAAAGCATTCTAAAATTTCACATCTGTAACATATTATGTTACTGTTCTCTGCTTCAACCTCAATATTCTCCATTATTTGATTCCTTTTATCCTCACAAATGGTTGCCTATTGAATACCAAACTTTCAAAATCTTCAAAATTTTGGTTCTATTACCATCTGTAGTATAATCAATTCAGAGAAAGCTTAATTTTCAGACTATAGAGTAGATTAAAACAAAAGCAGGCTATAGAAAAAAAAATATAGAGGCACAAATATAATTATGCAAAACTTAAGAACCATTGGATGGAAGAGAGACACAACAAGCTAACCTGAGTGTAATTCAGAGGATTCTTCTGCAATTCAGTAAGGGAGAGCTCGATATTTTTCTTTGAGTCACGTACCAATTGAGCCTTAGCCTTCTCTCCCAGTATGACATATTTTGTCTCTTTATCAGGCCCTATTGTAGTAAATAGGCACACAATTAAAATCATAGTTATCAATCTCGGATAGGTCAACCTTGAAAACATAACAGTGAGAAAGTGGATTGCAGGATGCCTTCTATTATTAAAGATCATACATACAAATTAAATATTCTATACTACATATAAAATGCTAAAAAGAAGTATCCAAAATTTAAGATATACTCATAATTAATATGCAAAAGTTTATATCTTAAGCTAAAATAAATAAATAATAACAGAAGTCATGAAAATGAGAAAGCAAATCTTTTTATACATAAAATTAGTAAAACTCAGACTGTCAAAAAAAATGGTGTGCAACACTGCTATTAGAAATGGATCAGGCTTAGCTCAACACCGAAAGAAGCTGAAGGGAGAAGTATTGTTCATATATCTTATAAGGAGAATTACATCATATTCTAGCCAATGAGAGAAATCTTATCACACCCTTCACACTGTAGACGAATATCTAGAGTATGAAGTTAGTAGGACTGGACTTCTATACTTGGCTTAATATTAAATCTAGATTGAGTACAATATTAAGTTAAAAAAGAACTTGGCCCATATGAACCAAAACATAGCTCAACAAAGAAGGATACGCATGCCTTATAAGTAGGATTCTGGCCATAGTCCTAACCAATGTGAGATATCTTAACAAACCTTACACCTAAAACTTGATATCTACATGTGACCCAACAGTAAGATCGCCCAGGCTTGATTTTACAGTTAATATTAACTTTATGACTTTTTAAGATTTTGGACATAATACATGTTAAAACCAAATGATCCCCCGTTCACATCATATAATATAATAATTTTAACCCAATTATCAAGGTAAATAATATTTCAGGAGCATACATGATAGTGATATTTTTTCCTCGTTTTCTTGATTGTATAAAAATCTAGGGACTACATCATTAGGACTCGTTGACATTCCTACTAAAGTATATTACATAGCAAAAAGGTTCTGTACATTGAAAATAACATAAGCCCGTCAGTTGGTTAAAAGGATCCAAAACATTGAGTGGTTTAAAACCAGCCAACATTACAAACTTACATTTCCAACCATTTCACTTTTAATGTTTTAAAAACAACACAGTATAAGAAGTCTGTAACAGACACAGCTGCAAAAATTACCGGAATTCAATTTGTGCAAAACCCTGCTTATCTTGACAGATGTGGAATTGATTCCACCACAAAGACCTTTGTCCGAGGAAACGGTAACAACAACATTCTTCTTAACATCAGCACCTTAAAAAAACAAAAACCAAACGAAGATCAGGGCATCATCAGAAAAATAAAATTAACAAACACAAATCTAATGAAGCAATTGCACATGTTCAAGATCGCAAATTCCTAACAAAGATCACGATAATAATAATAATAATAACAAGAAATGCAATACAATACAATAATTTGCACAACATCAACTTTTGCGTAAATTTCTTTCTATCACGTCATTAGTTACAATTCAAATTCTCTTCTTTTTTTCTCCCTCACTCCGTTGTCGTACAAGTAACAGTTCTCTACTGATAATAGCAAATCTAGACGATTCATAAAAATCTAATACAAAATTCATACGCATTTTAGATCACGATATAGGGTACAACAACAATAACAAATAATAACAATAATGATAAGAGAACATACTTGGATTGTCACCGAGAAAGGCAGTGAATGGTTGCCAGAGGCCACGGGAATTTTCAGCTCTTGTTTGAACGGCTCGAAGCTTGGATGCGGCAACCATCTTCATGGCCTTGGTGATTTTCTGGATATTCTTCACACTCTTCATTCGGTTCCTCACTGCGTCAATTTCATTAAACCATTACAAATCAACACTCGTTCAAGTCCAACACAAGGACACAATCAAACACATACACACACAAAATAAAAAGCTTATTCCAAGACCAAATTAAGAAACGGCGAAAGGGAGAAGAAAACCGATCGTACCTACTTGGGTGGAAACGGAGCGCGAACCATGAGGAGCTTGGTCTCTGTCAAAAACACGTTCTAATTAGCGTGTAAGATCGATAATACAAATTCGAGATCTGTGCAAGAGGGGAAACAAGAGAGTGGAATTGAGATTTGAGGAATTGTAAGAGAAAGGGAAGAACTGACTGAGAGATGAGAGAGGAATGGAGAGCGTTGATTGGTTGGGTCAAACGCCTCCCTTCGCGACGCAGAACAGCAGCCATTGCCATCTTCGTTTGTGATCGCTCTTGCGAAACCCTAGCGGTGTTACACACAGACAACTGAAGAAGCCCCTATTTGTTTTCGTTCAGGAACAATGCCAACACTGTTCAATATGGTCTCATATGTATGGATGTTGCGTTATGTATCACATGCCCCACGCACATTTCTATTCCCCGTAGGTTTGTTACTGCTTTACTAGGAAAAGTAAATACTAGCAAAAATAAACGCTGTAAAATTGCAATTTAGTTAAATTTATATATATATAATTCCCAAAAGAGAGAAAAATGTTCATTTTTAACTCTTTTAAAAAAAAAATCATTTTTTCATTCCTTGAAAATATGTCATGGGTAATTCTTATTCATGCATAAAACATTAAAAGTAATGAAAAAGAGAATGCGTGACACATTTTTATAAAGTACATTTTTTTTATTCTGGCTATCATGAAATTAACTTTTGTTGTATGACTATTATTATGTCTAATTTATTTTCATGTAGGTCAAGTTTTATCACGAGTGATAATGTGACTAATAGAAATTTAAAAACAAGTATAATATTTTTTAAAGAATATTGGGTTAGGTTTTGTCGGTAAAGAATATTTTTAAAGAATTAATTATTCATTGTATAAAATATTTTCCTTTTTTTCTTAACTAAAAAAAATAAAAATTAATATTTTCAATCGTTCTTAATGTTTATAGATGACATAAATATAAACAATAATTATTAAATTATCAAGATATCAAAACAATGATCATAAATCCAATCTAAAGAAATCCAATGTAACAGTACATTGGTGTATACTCAGAAACTAAGAACAGAAAAAAAACAAACTTTTCACAGTAACATATATAAAGAAAATGCACTGTATTAAATATGTCTCTCTTAACATTTGCAAGACCACAACCGTATGTATACAAAAAGAATTTAAAAGAAGCAAAACAAGAAGACATAGTTCAATTTTGGCGTTATAAACCAACACTCCTCCTCAAACCAAAATTGATACATCAGCAACACCAATTTGTTCCCTAAGATATTTGAACCTTTCAGCCTTCAAAGGTTTTGTTAACATGTCAGCAACTTGGACTTCCGACATGCAATGACGAATATATAATTTTTCACTTGAAACCTGTTCCCGGATGAAATGAAATTTGGTTTCAATATGTTTGCTTCTCCCCATGAGATGCTAGATGCTTGGCAAGATTAATTGTATATTTTTTGTCTATCAACAGCTTCAATCTGCACACTTGCTCCACTTTTAATTCGTTCAGCAGGAAATCCAGCCAAATGGCTTGACATGCTGCACCAGAGGCAGCTATATACTCAGCTTCGCAGGAAGAAAGAGCCACCACAGGTTCCTTCGTAGAACTCCAGGAAATTGGTGTCTCACCGAGAAAAAACATGCAGTCAGTTGTGCTCTTCCTATCGGTTTTGCCACCACACCAGTCAACATCAGAATACCCTATCAGCTCATCCCTTCCTTTTGACAGTAAAATGCCAGATTTTCAGTTCCATGTAAATACCTTAGTATTCGTTTTACCGCAAGGAAATGTTATATCTTTGGTTCTTGCATATATTTGCTCCCTAAACCAAAACTGAAATTCAAGTCAGGTCGTGTCGTGTGTTACAAAGGTACCTCAAACTTTCCATAATGTTGTGATATTGTGTTACAAAGGTATCGGGATTTTTCTCAAGTTTCAATCCTACTTCAGCAGGTTTATTTGCAGAGTTACTCTGTTGCATACCAAACCTTTTCAGCATATATTTTGCATACTTGGTCTGATCATTGCCATCCCATGTGAAGTTCTCTTGAATTCAATTCCCAAGAAATAGCTCAGACTTCCCAAATCACTTGTTTCAAACTCCTGCATAAGTTCACACTTGCAATCAACTATTAGACTTTCACAACTGCCCATGATTAGAAGATCATCTACATACAAGAAAATGATAATATTCTCAACTCTGTTGCTGTTCTCACAAATTTTAACATAAAGTCCATGCTCGGACATACATCTGACAAAGCCAATTTTGTCGAGAAACCCATCAATGCGCTTATTCCAAACTCTTGGTGCTTGCTTAAGGCCATATAAAGCCTTCTTCAGCCTGTACACTTTCTGTTCTTTCCCTTTCGATTGCTGCTTTTTCCCTTTTTCACCACTCTAGCTCGGAAAGCTTGTTCATTGCCTTCTCTCATTCATCCTATAATCATGCGCCTCAAAAAGAATGTCGTAAAGCTTCTAACTCAATCTCCTCCACATCTTTCGTTTCTTCAATTACGACTACCACATGATCAAACCTCTGTGGCAATGTTCTCAGAATTTTATCAACTACTTGTTTATCAGAGATTGTGTCCATGCAGACCCTCATTGCATTCACGTACTCCTGAATTTTATCAAAGTAATCAACAATTGTTTCTTTTTCGTCCATGCTGAAACACTCAAATTGTCTCCTCAAGGTCTCCAACTTGACCTTTTTGTTCTTGTCTCCTTCTCCATATGTTTTCTACAAAATTTCCCAGCACTTTTGCTGTTGCAGCTCTGTAGATTTTATTGAATATCTTTGATCCAACACATCTGTATATGAGAAATATTTAATTATAGCCCTGTTGTCTAACTTTTGAAGATTCATGTAATGTTTCTTGACTTCTTCAGTAGCTTTACATCTAGGTCTTCAATCCCACCCATTACCACATCCGCTACATCTTGAAACCCAAAAACAACAAACATCTTTATCTTCAAATCATTAAATCCCTTTCCATCAAACACTGGGTGTGCACCTTGAATAATGCTTCCATTCGCAGCCATCTTGAATCTGTAAATTCAAAAACTCCAACAATCTTGATACCTTCAACACTTCTTCGGTATTTCTAAGACTGTACACAAAGGCCAGTACACAGCTGACAACAAGATCAGAGACTTTCACTTTTCTCACAGGATGGACCTAGCTCTAGATACCATGAAGAAATTCAATGTAACAATACATTGGTGTATTCTGTTGGAAGTCTCAAATTTACTAGAGATAAAACCAATTTAAATCTCACCTTACAAGCTGGTTTTGTGGGGATGAGTTAGGCTTAAAAAGCTCACTTTCTAATATGGTATCAGAGTCATGGTTAGAGCCTATGCTAGTGAGTTGTAAGTGGACATTTTTGTTTTCATCCGTTGTCAGACGCTATCGGATAAGGCTAATTTATAATTTATACGAAATTGAGGCGCTATCGGATAAGACTAATTTATAATTTATACGAAGTTGAATTAGGTTTAAAGTCGACTTCTATGTCGTATACTCTAAGAAGAATAGAGAAAGAACAGACTTTTCACACTAACAAATATGAAGGAAATGCAGTGAATTAAATGTGTATCTCTTAACATTTACAAGACCACAACAGTATTTATACAACACAAAATTTAACAGAAACAAGACAGCAAAACAACCATAATTGCAATTACTACAAAAACAGAAAAAATAGAAACATAGTTCAATTTTGGTTTTACAAACCAACGTCCATAACTCATTAAATGCGATCCCGACAAATCATGAAATTTTTACTTATAATATGATAAAATTGTTTTCTTTTACATTAAAATGATTAAATAAATAATATTTTTATTATATATTATTATGTAAATGGAATGAATTTATTGATACTCGTAAACCTATAACCCAGTTAAACTTTAATTGACACATAAAATAAAAGTGAACTTAAAGCAATAACATAATAAATCTCATAAAAATATAATCCAATCAAACTTTAATTAGATATATAAATCAAAAGTCAATGTAGCTCGATAACTCAATGAATCTCATGACAATATAATATTATGTAATTATGTATAACCTTACACCCCTAATTTTTTTATAATTAATAATATGACTAAACACTTTTTTTTCTAATAAGGTTTAATTATTCATTTACTTTTTTATAATATTATATAGTCTCTCATTTTAGTCTTCTTCTCTTTTTACTTACAGTTTTAATTATTTTTAAGTCTCTATACTCTGATTTTATGAAAAGCTTTTTATACTCTAAATTGACAGCAGTCAAAATGGATCAAAAGTAATTTATAAAAAATAATAAAATATATATTAAAATTATAGGAATTAAAAGGCAATAATTGCTCAAGTATAAGAATTAAATGATGTTTTGGTCTTGTTAAACCCAATTGATATGATCTAATATCTTATATCAATTCTCTAGTTTAAAATATTCTCATTTTCCTAAATAAAGAGGCTATACAATTCTTGATTTTGGTCATAACTAATAATTTATAACTTTTATGAACAAATATTTATGTTTCAAGCATACGAGAGAGAAAAACAACAAAAATATAAGATTGTTGCAAGTTCATCTTATATTTTGAATGAGTACAAGATGTTTGTGTTAATGTTTCTCAAGAAAATTTTGAGTATATTCTCACTAGAAATTAAAATAACCAAAAGGTTACCTAGATGTGAATGTGCGCTTTGAGTGGACTTGAAAGAGAGAAAAGAAAAATGTTCAATTAAGTGAAACAAATAAAAACTACACAAGAAATACAATATAAATAACGAAAGCATGTAAATAAAACATAAGACATAAGCTGAAAAATGAAACAAAAGATGAAGATAATAGAAGGGGAATAGGGAAGAGAGAAAGGCACGTCACTTAAGGTATTAGGTCACCTGAGATGAGTGGTGGTTGTCACCACTTGAACCTAGGTTCAAGATATATAAGACCAACACTAAAACACTTTTACAAGAACAAAGCTCAAAAGCATATTAAGGTGTCTCAAATTTAATGTTAATCAACCTTTTACACGTGGCTTAGAGGTTCCATTAAATAGTCATGGGTAGGGATCTTTAAACAAATATAATAAACATGTATTTAGAAACTAGGCAACCTATGGACATCTTCCTTGCCTTTGGAAGCAATGAGGACCTCTCAATAATTACAAATACATGTTTCTAGAAGCTAGGACAACCTATGAGCAACTCTTTTGCCTTTGAGAGCAAGATGCACGTTTTCCCACTTCTAAAAGGTCAAAGATAACCTCTCTTAACTCCTAAAAAAACAAGAAAATAATCATGAATTTAAAATTTATTCTAAGACAATAAAATGAAACCAAATAAAAAAAAAGGTGAATAAA